ACAAGCAAAAAAGGAAAAAAATGTTAAATTGAACTACATCAAAATTAAAAACTTTTGTGCCACAAATCAAGAAAGTGAAACGACAACCCATAGAATGGCAGAAAATATTTGCAAATTGTATATCTAATGAGGGACTGGTATGCAGAATATACAAAGAATACTTATACCTCAGTAATAAAAAGACAACCTAAAGGATCTGAATAGGCATCTTCAAAGAAAATATGCAAATGACCAATAAGCACATGAAAAGATGCTTGACATCTGTTGACATAATAGGAAATATATATTTGTTCTCTGCCCTTGGTTCTTGAAACAGAGCTCCTAAACCTATGTGATTTCCTGAGTGATAGGGGTTCTAGAAGCATCTTTTGTTCTAATATTTGGTCTTTGAATCTGGTTCCTGACATAGAGTTCCTAAATCTTTTGAAATTTCCTGGGTAATAGGACTGTCTTTTGTTCCTGAATGGGGCCTGTCACCAGAAAAACCAAGCCATGATTAGATGCTTGGAACTTTCAGCCCCACACTCCCCATCCTCCAGGGAAGGGAGAAAAGCTGGAAACTGACTTAATAATTAACTGATCATACCTACATGGTGAAGCCTCCACGAAAATCTCTAAAGATGGCATTTAGGGAGCTTCTGGTTTGGCGAACATATCCATGTGCTGGAAGGGTGGCATACCTCAACTCCAACAGAAGCTCTTGTGTTTAGGACCTTCCCCTTTGGGACCTCACTTTATGTGTCTCTTCATCTGGCTGTTCATTTATATCCTTTATAATATCCTTTAATAAACCAGTAAACATAAGGAAATGTGTCCTTGACTTTTGTGAGCCATTATAGCAAATTATTGAATCTGAGGAGTGGGTTGTAGGAACCCCTGACTTATAGCCAATTAGTCAGAAGTCTGCAAGGCCCAGACTTGTGATTGGCATCTAAGGTGGGAGCACTCTTGTGGGACTGAGCCCTTAACCTTTAGGGTCTGCTCTAACTCCAGGCAGTCAGTGTCAGAATTGAGTTAAATTGTAGGACACCTAGTTGATGTCTGGGGAGAACTGTAGAATTGGTTGGTGGGAAAAATTCCCACACGTTTGGTGTCAGAAGTGTGTGATTATATAGAAATAAGTTTTTTTCCTTTTAACGTCATTAGTCATCAGGGAAATGTTAATCAAAACCACAATGAGAAACCATTTCACACCCACTGGGATAGCTATAATAAAAAAGACAAGTAGTACTAACAAGTGTTGGCAACTATGTGTAGAAATTGGAACTCTCATATACTGGGCATGTAAAGTCATGCTGCTTTAAGTGTTCCTTAAAATTTTAAACATAAAGTTAACATATTACCCAGCAATTCCACTCTTAGGTATATATTCATGAGAAATAAAAGCATACATCCACAGAAAAATTTATACATGAATACGCACAGCAACATTATTAATAATAGCCAAATAGCAGAAACAACCAAGTGTCCATCAATTGATGATGGATACGTAAAATGCAGTATATTCATACAATGGAATATTACTCAATCATAAAAAGAAATGAGGCCTTTATACATGCTACAATGTGAATTAACCTTGAAAACATATGGGTAAGTAACTGAAGCCAGTCATGAAGACCACATATTATAGGATTCCATTTATATGAGAAGTCCAGAATAGGAAATTTATAGAAGCAGACAGTACAGTAGTGGTAGCTTAGAGCTGGGGTGGGGGGTGGAAAATGAGAAGTGACTGCTAATGGGTAGGGGTTTCTTGTCAGGGTGATGAAAATTTTCTAAAACTTAAGATTATGGTAACAGTTGAACTGTGAATATATTAAAACTATTGAATTGTACACTTTTTTTTTTTTTGATATGGGGTCTCACTCTGTTGCCCAGACTGGAGTGCAGTGGCATGATCATAGCTTACTTGCAACCTCCAACTCCCGGGCTCAAGTGAACCTACCTTAGCCTCCCAAGTAGCTAAGACTACGGGCATGTGCTACCATGGCCCAGCTAATTTTCCTATTTTTTGTAGAGACTGTGTCTCACCACATTGCCCAGGCTGGTCTCAAACTACTGGCCTCGAGAGATCCTCCCACCTCGGCCTCCCAAACTACTGGGATAACAGGGGTGAACAACCACACCTGGCCCTGAATTGTACAATGTAAATGGGTAACTTTTATGGTGTGTGAACTACATCACAATAAAGATGCTAAAAAAAGTCACCGGTTTTGCCAAGAACCATTGAA